AGCCTTGCTGCCAGGCTTGGTAGCTTGAGGCTCTTTGCCTGGTGGGAAAGGGAGTCCTACCCACAGGACCGTTCTCTCTGACCACCTCCTGCTTCCTCAGCCGTGACCCTGAGCATCCTGAGGAGGGAGTGAGCCTCAGGAGACCCACGCTGTGTCTTAGCACCTCACTGTGAAAGACCAGCTTCTTCAATAGCCTCCAGCTGCTTCTTCCCATAGACATGGCTGGTCGTCTGTGCTGCAGCCAAGCCAACCCTTGCTTAGCGTAAGGGCGGCCCTGCCCTTCTCTCACCTCCTCACTGCATCCAGGGGAGGTACCTGAGCCCCCGATGCTTCAAACTGTGACAGTCATCGTGGAACCATGGAGCAACCAGTCTGGGGACAAAAGTCAACAATATTGGGGAGTGGGGAGAGAAGGGAAGAATAACTCAGGTCTTTCCCAAGTGATTTGGTCTCTGAGAAGATCATGAACCTCCGGGCCAATGCAGAGACTGTAGATCTTAACCTCTAACCTTAACCTCAGGCTAAGCAAGCAACAAATGTGTTTTTATTTCCAGATACTTCATTTCCAGATATTTCACAAAGAGCGTTCCTAAAGGATGGACTCATAGTGATCTGTAAGGTCCTGAATGTCTGGTCTCCATCCCTTCTTTTCACCCCTGTTTAGTTTCCACATTCTAGCTCTCTGGCCCTTTTCCAATTCCATGTACCTCTTACCTCAGGACCTTTGCACATCCATTCCACGTTCCTGGAAAGCTCTTCTGTTGCTTCACTGTTTGACTCCTATTTCTCTTTTAGATCCTGGTTCCAAAGCTCCCTTCTACAGAGAAGTCTATCTTGACCTCTGGGTTGGGTACATTCCTTAGTAAATACTTTTAGAAACTCCTGAATTTTTTTCTTTAGAGCCTATCCTATCGGTAATTACATATTTATTTGCATGGCTGTTAGTGCATCTGCTCCCAGCTAGACGTGAGTTCTAGGAGGACAGGGATCCTGTCTGCTCTCTCCTCAGGAATGCACCCATGCGAGGATTGGCTCTTTTGTCTCTGGCTTGTTTCACTTAGCATGGTGTCTTCCAGGTGCATCCAGGTTGCAGCGTGGGTTAGAACTTTTTTTGTGTGACTCAACTACATTGTATTTATCCCTTCATCTGTTGATATGTTTTTACCTTTGTCCATTATGATTAAGACTCTATGAAAACTAATGTAAATGTGGTATGCATACACAAGAAAATATTATTTGGCCATAAAAAAGGATGGTTATTGCTTCGACTTGAATGAACCTGGGGGACATGCCAAGTGAAAAACTGCATGACCTTAAGGATCTAGGGCATCTGAAAAGCTGAACTCAGAACCAGGGAGGGTAAGGGGAGACAGGGAGAGATTGTTAAGGGCTCCAAGTCACAGCCAGATTGGAAGAATAAGTTCTGGCGGACTATTTCCCAGAAGGGTGACTACAGTCAACAATATTGTATTATTAAACTCAAAATGGTTAGAAGAGAGGTCTTGAATGCCCTCATCATGAGCAAATGATAAATGCATGAGATGATGGATAACCTAAATATGCCGAGTCGATCAATACACAATATATAAGTGTAAATAAATACCAAACCATCCTATTGTAGCCCATAAAGATGTACAATTTTTAAAAAAGGAAACAGAAAGAAGGGAACACAGCTCCTGACTCCTCCCAGGACAGCTGAACACACACACATCTGGGGCAGCGGGGGTCTGGCCTGCTCTCCCCATCCAGGCCCCTGGGCAGTCTCTGGCCTTCCCATGGACGCATCTCAGCATGCACAGGGACCCAGGAGACGTCAAGCTGACCAAGGAGGGACCACCTTCCGCCCACGGCCTTAGTGACCTGTGTGGCCTGCTGTTCCAGGACCTCAGGTGAGTGCAGGACACACACGGAGCTTCAGCACCAGGCAGACGCAGGGAGTGACACGTCGTGGTGGCTTCAGGCTGCCCTCTGCCTCTTTCTAGCTGCCTGGGTTCATGCAAGTGACTTGACTTTTCCTGGCCTCTGTTTCCCGATCTGTAGAGTGGGAGTAGGAATCTCTTCTAATTGCAAGGTGGTTGATAAACATAGAGGGTTTGCAACAGGGCCCTGCACGGAGGAAGCCTTGAAGAGATGCCGGCTTGTGGCTTGATCCCAGGTAGTGCTTCCAGGCCGAGGCAGGAGCATTGCAAGCTCCAGGCTGGCCCGGCAACTGAGCAGGACCCTGTAATAAAATAAAGAGGGCTGGGGATGTAGCTGAATGGTAGAGCGTCCCTGGGTTCCATCCCCAGTACCAAAAAAGAAAGCAAGAAAGGAAGGAAGGAAGAAGAGAAGATGGTGGCCTTGTCTTAAAGTTTTGTTATTGTGCGTTTGGCTTTTGCTTTGCCGCGTTCTTTGTAGCCGATGGTTGGACGGCTGTCACCTCAAGTTTTTCCTTCTGTTTTTTGCCCACCTCAAGATGTCGACATCGTCATGCACAGAGGACAGGCAGGGAGCAGGACAGAGCTTGGGAATCAGTCCTGACAACCGTACAAAGCCAGTCCCATCCTCCTGCCTTCAGAAGATGACTCAGAGAGGCGACGTGTCCCCTGTTGTCACGCGGCGTGTAAGCAGGAGTCAGGCGTGCGTGAGCCCTGCAGAGCCTGGGGTTCCTAGGTGCTGCTGCCTGGGCCCCTGACCGTGACCCCGAGAGTCCTGAGCTCTAGGTCAAGGTTCTCTAGGACTAGGGGAAGGCCATCCCTGTCCCACGTGTGTGCACAGAGGACATCGCGGGAGGAGACGGAAAGGAGATGCATGAACTGTGTGCCCTGGAGGCTGGCGACAGACCTTGGAGGTGGAGGACATAGACATTAGTGGTTGAGGCAGGATTAGGCCCGACTGTCCCCACTCTCCACGTCCTACTTCTCTTTTTAATGAATAGTGGTCCTGAGAGGCCCCGGCTCCTCTGTCCCTCCAGCTGCTGATGGCCACAGTGGGAGCCATCGACCTGCCCCCAGGACCTTCACCAGGAGCTTGCAGAGGCAGAGGTTGGGCAGCGGGGACTTAGGAGGCTGGAGAGCGGCTGGTAGGAGGACTTGGCCTTGGGGACACGCAGCAGCTCCCCAGGTGACAGTGAATAGACTCCACGGAGTCCTCCGGCTGCCAGCCAGGAAGCCACCTGAGATGTGGCCATGGATCCTGGGGAACCATCAGCCGCTAGGGCTGGGGAGAGGGGCTTCCGCCCAGGGCACCTGCCTGTCGGAGCCCACGTGCCCAGGTGGGGAGGGAAAGCCAGGCGTGGGGCAGAGGAGGCCTGTTTGGAAGCGGGGGGACAGTCTCAAGGTAGAGGGGACAGTGCTGCGGCTGCGACTCCTCCCTCCCTGAACTTGAGCGGCCCTGTCTGCCTGGGGACATCGTGGTGTCCACCACGGGTCGCTTTTGGTGAGGACGTAACGAAATGGCTGGCAATGCCTGAGATGCATTAGGAGCTCAGAGAACCGCCCTTCTGTCCTTCTTCTATGAGGAGCATAATGACCCAGGACAGGGAGAGGGTGACACCCTGGGGAAGCTGCGCATGGTGGCACTGGAATGAATAAGCAATCACAGGGACACTGGCGACGGAGCTCTCACCCAGGGTCAGCCGCGACGAGTGCTATCGCCTGTCCTCGTTTTACTCTTGCAAGAGCCCAACCAGCTGGAGGCTTTGTCCCCATTTTACAGATGAACAAACTGAGGCTGAAGTCAGTAACCTGGCTCAGGTGGCATCACTTGCAAGAGACAGAACTGGAAACCAAACCCACTTTTTAAAATGGAGAGATGGACTCCCAGAGAAGGACACTCCTGAGCCCCAGGTCTCAGAGTGAGCAGGTTCTAACCTTCCAGCCCAGGGACAGGTAGAGAAGGAAGCAGGACTTGGGGGCTTGGGTGTTTGTTTTTGAACCAGGGATTGAACCCAGGGGTGCTTAACAACTGAGCCATATCCCCAGAGGTTTTTGTTTTGTTTTGTTTTTGAGACAGGATCTTGCAAAGTTGCTTAGAGACTTGCTAAGGTACTGAGGCTGGCCTTGAACCTGCGATCCTCCTGCCTCAGCCTCCAGAGCCGCTGGGCTGACAGACGGGCACGCCCAGCTGGGGCCTGGTTATCAATGCTCACTTGGGGACTGACTTGCTGTGTGTTCTTGGGCAAGTTTCTCAGCTCTCAAGTCTGCTTTTCAAGTCTTTCTTCTTCTGCATGATGGGAAGGCCGTTGCCTCTCTGGCCAGGTCACGAGGATGGAACGCAACAACTTTAGCTCACTGCCGGGTGCAGCATAGTTGCCCACAGACTGGGCAGCCCCGCCAACCTCCCCCCAGACCACTCATGTGCCGTTGACTTGAGAAGAGGAACACGTTTCCTTCCAAACTCCGAGTCCCTCTGTGTTCTGGCCAGGCCGAGGGGACACAAGGTGGGTGTGCCCTCCACCGCCCACAGGGAGCGCGTGCAAAGGCACATCGAAGCCACATTTTGAGGGGGATTCGCGGGACGCCTTTTGCACCTCTGCCAGAGACAGCTCAACCCCAGCTTCTGGCTGCGGGAATGACAGCTTCTGCCAGGGGTAGTGTGCCTGGCACGGGCTCGGGCATGTACCGGAGTCAACTGGCATTTGCAGGCAACATGTGCACACAAAAACATTCCAGCACACGCATGCCACAGCCGGCACGGCGCTGCCACGGCACCGACACAGGGCGACACACGTGTCTGTCGGCTTCCTCTGCTCTTCCCATCCCTCCCTCTTCATTATCAGGATGCTCTCGGCTTCTGCACAGTTGGTCCCTCCACCCTGTGTTTGCATCCCTCTCTGTTTCCACCTGTGCCTCTGTGTGTCCCCATCCCATCCCCTGGGTATCTTGGTCTCTCTCTATCTCCCCAGTGTTGTCTGCCAGGCTCCCAGCTCTCTCTCTCTCTCTCTCTCTCTCTCTCTCTCTCTCTCTCTCTCTCTCTCTCTCCAGTTCTATTTTGCTGTTTCTCTGTCTCTCCATCTGTCTCTGTACCCGCCTGGCTGTGGGTCTCTGCTTGGCTCTCTCCCTCTTTCCCGGTCTGTCTTTTCTCTAACTCTTTCTGTCTCTGTCTTCCCCTACCTCTGTCTCTATTTTTTTTTTTTCCTGTGACACTCTCCTGGAAACGCTTCCAACGCTGAAGTGGCCGGATTTCAAGTGACAAACAGCACTACACCCAGAATCCACCCCCACCCCCCAACCCGGCTGCTTCCTCCTCCACATCTCGGAAAGAGAAGCTATTGTGTCGGCCGGGAGTTGAGTGGAAGGGCCTGGGGGCCTGAGCTCTTGACTGCTCTGAGCCACTTCCCCATTGGCTCCCAGCAGCCTGTGCTCAGCGAGGACTGAGCGACAGGGGGAGGCTCTAGTCCATAAAAGGGGGGGACGAGGCACCAGACTGCCATTGGAAGGGGCTCACAGCTGCCTCCTTGGCACCTCTGAGGTAGAGTCCGGACAGCCCCTGAATCTGGGACCAGCCACCTGCCACCACCACACCACCTGCTGCCCCAGAAGCCGCCCAGGAACAAAGCAGCACACAGGTGAGTTCCGGAAGCAGTGCTGGAATTCCTGCTCTTGGTTTTATTTGGGTCCCTCTGGTCCTCTGCAGCTGGAGAGGGTAGGGGCTTGGGCTGGGGGTGGCGGATTTGGGGCTGATTGTCTGGAAAGGGAGTTACAGTTTTGAGGCCAGTTTACTCAAGCCAGACTGGAGAGGGGCTGGCTGCACTTCGGTGTCTCCCTTTCCCTGAACAGTCCTGCCTGACACAGGTAGTTGTCTGCCACACAGAGTTTCCCACGCCAATTTCCGGGGTGCGGGGGGGAAAACGGGTTGCCCCTCGCTGGAGGACAAGAAAGGTTTCGCTAATCAGGGTGATTTTAAAGGTCAGCGATCCTCGCTGGACTTAGAGAACAAGGGCTGGGGGACATTAATAAGACTCAGGGCGCTGGCATTTACCATGTATCATGTACATCAGTGCTACCACCAAGTTCAGCCCTGGCCGTCTTTTCTGATGGCTTTTAATTGCTGATAAGGTGCTGATGTGAGCAGCTTCCTTTGACGTAGTTTTACACGGAATGAAGTTTGGGGTTGTTTTGTTGGAGGGAGTTGTGTGTGTGTGTGTGTGTGTGTGTGTGTGGAGGGGGGGCGATGACAAGATGCCCGGAAACCCAGGCTGAGCAGGGTTTTTCGTGTCTATTTTACTTTGAAAGGACTTGTTGCTTTCATGTAAATTACAGCCGGAGGCAGCTGAGTTAGGCAGGGGCGGTAGCTCCAAAATCAAAGCCACTTGCTCTCTGGTGAAGATACCCACATTCAAAGGAAGTCCTATAGAATCTGGAAGTTGGACTCTGGCAAAGAGCGGTGAGCTTCAGGAAAGAAATTAAAAAAAAGAAAGAAAGAAAGGAAACAAAGCCAGTTGATAACTTCAAGGCTGCATAGACAATTCTGCCAGCTCTTACTCTTCCCTGAGTGTCTTTTTCTGAGAATCTCCCAAGCTTTACAAACACGCCTTAATTAAGCCTCCAAGCTTCCCAGGGGGAAACAAGCTCTTTGGGTTATTGGATCTGATTTCAGTTCCCCTCCCACAGACTGAAAGTCCTTGTTACCATCTTTCTGGTGAAATACATCAGGCTTGTCTTTCTGATTTGACAGGCATCGCTGTCGAGATCATTGCAAAGCCTCTCCCCACGTCAATGCTCCTGTGCTCCCGGGGGCCTCGCCTCCACGTGCCCCACCCCTCTGCGGGCACCCTCCCCCTCCTCCCCCTCACCTTCGCCCCCCAGGCCCACCCCACCTTGCCTTTTGTTCTGTTTTCCCAGGTCATTCACCTCCCGGCTTTGAGATCTGCGTGGGGAGCTCCTGCAGCAGCCCCAGCCGGGTGAGTGGCGCTGCCGGGGGAGGTTTGCATTTACCCACACGATTCCCAGCCCACGGCTTTGCCCCGCTGGCGCTGGGTGTGACGGGGGCAGGCACATCCCTGGTCTCCACTGTCTCCACCGGCAGCTGGGAGTGGGATGTCTTGATGGTTCCTGAGGCCGAGTGGTGGGACCCAGTCTGTTTTGACAGGTTGACAGGGGAACGGGCAGAGGAATGGTTCTGGGCTGTTTGAGGAATTGGTCATCAGTTTCTTGAAACTCCTGAGAGCCAGGGATTTCCCATAATAGAGCATCTAAATGACAACAGCCGAGACAGTGCTGGGTTCGAGCTCCAGCTCCCACCCCTCATTGGCTGTGTGACTTTGGGACAGTAGCTGTCCTTCTCTGAGTCTTAACTTCCTCACCTAGACAACCAGGATCAGAATACTATTCACTCCCTGAGGTTATTGTGAGGCCCCAATAACTGGGAGACTGGAATACACCCAGCATTCAGTAGATACTCAATAAATGCTGCCAAGTCCCTTTGAGCCTTCAGTTTTAAAATGGCAGGGTTGGACCTCCCCCTCCATCTTTCATCATCTCCTCCACCTTCCCCTTCCATCCTGCTCTGGATGGAAACCGGATCGAACACCTGCATTTCTTTTCCTGTCCACCTCAACAGAGGACCTCATTTCTCCATCCACGGCATCTGGGCCACCAGGTCTCCTCCCGATCGATCCTCCCCGCCCGCCCCATGCCCTCCTCCCTGGGTTATTCTTATACAATCGCTGTATTTATTAGTCCCCATCCATCATTCTGCAAAGGATCAATACCCACTGGTTTGATGTCAGCGCCGTCCTGAGAGAGTGTGGTCCCCAGGCCGCCCCCCCTCAGAGTTCTCATTGCAGCCTAGAAGAGGGGGATTAATCTCAGAGGGTCTCTGTGAGGCAGAGCTGGCCAGTGAGCATCGGCCCGGGGCAGCCAGGTGGATCCAGGTCAGCCCCTCGTGATGGGGTCCTCTGATGCTGGACCTCCAGTCTCCGCTGAGGCTCTCCAAGGAGGCACAAAGGCTGGGGGCCAGGCGCCGGGGCTCCTCCCTCAGTCCACCAGCGCACTCTGCGGACCAGAGCGGTTGACCACAAGCTGCCGACGTATTCACCAGGGACTATTTGTCCATGCAGTGGCTGGATCTGTCCTTGCCCCCTGTCTTATTCCTGGGCGATTCAATTTAGTTCGATGGGTGTTTACTGAGCAGTTACTATGTGGCTGGGTCTCTGGCCTCTTTGGGGAAAGGACTGGGGGGAGTTACGGGCATCTGTGGCTCCCACGGGGGCCAGCCTCCTGATTCAAAGTCGGCTTCCTGCCCGCCCTCTCCCTGTCCCTGGTTCCGTCACCTCCCTCCTCCCCTTCAGGCAGCCTCCCCCCCTTTCTCTCATCCTCATTTGCTGTCCTGGTCGGCTGCCCCTCTCTCTGCCCTTCTAGGCGTCTTTAGATCTTGGCTGTGTGAGCCCCATGGACGTCACTCTTTTGCCCCCCCCCCTCTCTGTGTCTGTCTCTATTCTCCGCCTCCCTCCGTCTCTCCTCATCTCCCTGGTGGCCCTCCTTTGCCTTTCTCACCAGCACTTAATGGCGCAAATGACAAAAGGGTGAGGGTTCCACAGAGATCCTGCCATTGCAAAAGCACCCTTTACCCTGCAGCTGGTGATCGCACCCTGACCACAGCGTCAGGGACGCCGTTATCTTTGGCTTCTGTACAGCAAAATGTGTCCGACCCTTGACGACCTGAGACCCTGGTCCTGCGTCCTGTGGTTTGAGGGTTGCTGCACGAGGAGGCGGTGGTTTTGCTTTCCGTGCAGAACCTGGGCCCCGTCCCTGCTAGTCGGTCATCCATCGGGTCAATGACCCAAACGCCTAATAAGGACACAGTTTCTCTGTCTGGGGTCCATCTTTGCCTGCCCCCTTGCAGACCCACAAAGATGCACTTTCTATTTGACGTTGAAGTAAAATCTCCTGAAATGGTTTCATCTTGAGGAATGTGGAGCTTGGCAGGTATCAGGAAGACCTTCCTGTGGATCTGAGCCTCTGTGACTTCTTGGGGTGCTTCTGCCTCGTTCTGCTGTTCCCTGGTTTCTGGGCCTTGGCTGAATCCTTTCCCTTCTCTGAGCCTCTCTTTTCCTAGGATATGGGGCTAACTGCACCCCATCCACTGGAGGCAAAAATGAAATAATTGAGATAAAATGTTAGCAAAGAGCTTGGCGCGCTAAGGAAGGTGCCCTGGACCAGTTCCATCCCTGCTACTGGGTGCTCTGGGACCTTGGAGGGACTGCGTCAGGACCCGCACTGGCCCCTAGACCTTGAGCTATAATATTAGTCCCTGACCCGCGGGGTCCATCTGGCATGCAGGGGGCCTGGGACATGGCAGTGGCCCAGTCGCGCTGGCCCGCAGGGTGGCTGTCCCTGGGGGACCACCGAGACACTGCCAGCCCCTCCGGGGAGTTGCAGCCAGTGTGGGAGCCTCAGCTCTGTCTCCACTTCCCTCCTGACTCATGATGTGACCTTAAACAAGTGACTTCATTTCTACCTTTTCCCATTTCCTCTTCTATCAAATAGGGATAATCATATGCGATAAAGTGCTCAGAGAGATAATTGCGACGTTAAATCAAGCCATTATTATTCCGTGCTGGCTTTTTTAATAAAAATGCTTGCTGCTCCTCTGAGCCCACGGCTGACTCCCGTGTAGAAATATCACCGAGGAGGGGAGAGGCCAGAAGACCTGTCCTCTTACAAGGAACTCCGGGCCCTGGGGGAAAAGAGGGTCCCCGTGTGAGGGCCCTTTAAAGGCTGCCGTCTCAGGGGACACTGTGGGGAGCTGGTACCCCCCACCCCCATTTGCAGATGAGAAGACTGGGGTTTGTCACAGAGAGGGCACTGGGTCTCTCTGACCCCACAGCCCATGTCGTTCTCTCCTAAGGAAAAGGAAAGACCTCAGGTGAGCGGCCCAGGTCCTCTCTGTTCTGGCCGGGACAGCAGCAGGAGTGACCGGAAAGGGCTGTGAACTCATGGTGGGGGAGGTGCAGTGTGCTGACCTCCCGGCAGGAGCTGCCCAGGGGCTGCCCACACTAACGAGGCATAGGGCAGGGCCTATCACTGGGTAATATGTGCAAATGCCGGGGGGCCCAAGAAAATGACCCCAAAGACCATCAGAACCACAACGCGGTGATCAGCTTAAGGCAGCGGGGTCACACACTTTATGTGTCCAGGAACAGGGGGGACATATTTCTGGTTTCTGGGCCACGCGATCCTTGCTTCAGCAATCAGCATGAGAGCAGCCCTGGAAACAGAGTCCTCACGAGGCTGGGCACTGGGTGAGGACAGGCCCAGCAGGACGCGTCCATCCACAGAGGCACTGGCTGGTGGGATCACGGAGGTGGGCAAGTCCCCAGTGTCCTTTGTTGCTTGTTAGGGGACAGTCACCCCTCTCCTCCCATCAGCCCGTGACTCCCTAGTGGACTGTTGCTGAGCGGTGAGGTGGTGGCCGAGGACACGCTTCAGGGACGGCCCAGAGGCCAGGATTTTTCTTGGTGAGCCCCCCGGTCCACCCACCTGCAAGAGGGGCCCCCCCTTGGTTGGTGGGCTGAGCATGGCCCCCGCCAGGTCCTTGGCTGGATGTCACCCCTGGCACTTGCCGAGTTCGTTCACTTTCCACCCCTCCACTTTTCCAACCTCCGTCTCCCCGACTCTGCCCTTCCTCTACCCTGGTCTCCGTGCCATCCTCAACCTCCGCCCCCCACTCAACTTTGCACTTACAAAGTGCCCCCAGGAGTGGACTTGAAAGCCCAGAGGTGATGATGGGACAGGGCCAGCACAGGTGGCTGTGGGAGCTCAGAGGAGGGGCCTAATCCAGGTGGGAAGCAGTGGAGCCTGATTCTGAAGGGGGAGTAGGACTTAGCCAGGTCTGAGGTGGTCAGCAGGGTGGGTGGGGTGAGAGAAGCTTCCAGGGAGAAGAAATCGGGGGTGTTGCAAAGGTTTGGGGGAGCAGCGCAGGGGCATTGGTGGCACGGGTAGGGAATTGGTCATTGGGTCAAGAGCTCATGCCAGTCTGTGAGGGTGCTGTGTACCTGCTGGGAGGCCCTGGATAGATGAAACAACCTCTCTGGGCCTCCATTTCCTCATCTGGAAAATGGGGAGAACGCTAGTCCAGTTATGGCTCATCACGAGGACCCCTTCCCGAAGATCCACGCAGGACCGAGCTTGGGCCCAGCTCACAGTGAGCACCTCGAAAATGTTGCCTCTGGATCAGGGAAGCCCTTGAGTGCCCTGCAAAGTGTGTCTAAGAGGACAAGATTGGAGGCTGCTCCAGAACCAGGGGGAGGCTGCTGCGGACTCCCAGAGGGGAGGCTTGGAGGCTGCGACTGGGGTGGACCTAGGGGCCTGGGCAGTACCCACCGGCCCAGAAGGAGAGCTCTGGAGCTGGACTGCCTGGGTGCGTCTCTCGCTCTGGAGCCCCTCCTGGCTCTGAGTCTGGGCAGGCTCCCTCACCTGTCGGGTGGGTGTGACCCAGGCTCACGCCATGAGTCTGCCTGTGTACGACCTAACCCCTGAGGTCGCTCAGAGCGACCTGTCTCTGTTCCTCAGCTTTTCATCACGGTGACAAAACACTTGGGAAGACTGAGGGGAGGGGAAGTTTACTTCGGCTCCTGGGTTCCGAGGTTTCAGCCCAGGGTCAGCGGGCGCCATGGTTTCTGGGCCTTTGTGGATGTGGGCCTTGGTGGCGGAAGGGCGCAGGGGAACAGCTGTGTGGCTCAGAGAAGCAGAGAGAGAGAGAGAGAGAGAGAGAGAGAGAGAGGGAGACAAGATTCCCACGAGATTGACATGGGGCTGCCTATGACGTGGGGGTGGCTGTGTGCATCACAAGTGCCTGTCTCACAGTGACGAGTGGGATGAGGTGATGGGGTGAGGGCCCAGGGTGGCAGGGCTCAGTAAATGGAGACTGGATCCCACTTCAGGCTACAGCATGGGGTTCTGGGGCTCATGAGATGGGATCTTTACACCCCCAAAACACCCCAAAACAGAGCGGGAAGCCGCCAGCCAGGACGTCACGGGTGGCCGGGGCTCCGTGTCACACCAGCCGCGGCTGCCATCCGAGAAAGTGTGAGACACCTGTTTGTGACTCCATATAAATGGTGCGGCTCGCTCACCCGGAACCCTAATCCGCTCAGCTGCTGATAGAGAAGCCCGGGGACAGGAGGCAGACGCAGGTGGACACAAGTCCACTTCCTTGAGTCTCCCATTCTGGGCGTCCCCGTTCCGGGAGCAGATGGGACCCACCCTGAACCCCTGTGTGATCTTGGGAGAGCCTTCCAGTCTCTCCAGGACCACTTCTCAGCTGGTGATGGGCTGATTTCAACACACAGGTCAGGGGTGCTGCGCGGGCAGCCAGCCCCGGGTCTCACGAGGGCCCCACTGTCAGTGAGTGAAAGTTGCTCTAGACCTGGCCACACTACGTGGGCTGGCCTTGCACCCCAGCTTCACCCCAGCAGGCGGCACGTGGGGGTGGCTCTGTGCATCACAAGTGCCTGTCTCACAGTGAGGAGTGGGATGAGGTGATGGGGTGAGGGCCCAGGGTGGCAGGGCTCAGTAAATGGGGACTGGATCCCACTTCAGGCTACAGCAAGGGGTTCTGGGGCTCATGAGATGGGATCTTTGCACCCCCAAACACCTGAGCACACAGGACAGAATTGCACTGCGTGCCCATTTGAATGGCTTTGAGTCTTCACTTTGGGATTATAGAAAGAGTTGGCTGAAAGGGGTGGGTTTTAACAGCTGTTGGTGAAGCAGCACTTCGTCGGGGGAGTATTTATTGAAGGCCTATTATGTGCTGGCCAGGGTTTTCAGGTGCCAGGATATAGCACAGAAGAAACTGGGTACGATCTGTGTCCCTGGAGGTGCACATTCTAGAGGGGGAGCGTGCCCGAGCCTAACAAAGCACCACCACCAAGTGAACAAATATCAAATAAATAGGGAAGACCATGGGTGTAACGGAATCAAAGCAGATGACGTGGGAAATGGAGGAAGCTGACACAGGGATCAGCAAATGCCTCTCTGGCCATGCCACACTGAACTCATTCAACATGCAAAAGAGGGAATCTTATGAAAATCTGAGGTCACAGTACTGCAGACAGAGAAGCAGAAAGTGCAAAGGCCCTGAGGCAGGAGCAAGCTTGGCCTGTTTGAGGAACACAGAACAAGTATTACAGAGAAGACACGGTTACTGCCTTTGTGGAACCAGACTCTGAAGGCTCACACAGCTAATTATCAAGTAGTACATTGTTTTGATGGAAGAGATGCAAATTATTGGGAGAATAGGAAAGATGAGCATCTCATTTAGCCTGGGAAAGCTGCCCAGAAGAGGTGATGTCTGGTCTAGGATCTAAGTGACAGGTAACAGAAGAGGAGAGGAAGGGTTTTCTGGCAGAAGGCGGAGGGAACAGCTTGTGTCTTTGTGGGACGGAGCCTGAAATGTCATCAAGGGAATTACAGTTGGTGCTCAGAGCTGAAGTGTTAGCATACAGCAGGCACTCAGCACTTGTCAATTGCTTGCATTGATCACCTGGAACCAGGTGATTGGATTTCATCACCCTCGCCTTCTTCCTTCCCAGCAGGAAGAGACACAAGAGAATGGGGTGGCCAGAGTTGGTGATGGCCGCGTGCCTCCTCGCTCTCCCCTCTGCCGCGGCAGACTGCCTGTCCCACTGCGCCTGGTGTGCCGTGAAGACCCAGGATGGACCCAAACCCGTCAACCCCCTGGTAGGCTTCCTGATGCCCAGGCCCTTCTGAGTGTGGAGCCCAGGGAGGGGAGGTCCCAGGCCAGCTGTGCCCTCGTGGTACTCATAACCTTGTGCAGGGCTTGTCACCAGGGGCCACTGTCTCCCAGCTCCCATCCACACCCCAGACCTCACCGCCATGGGCTCCCTCTGGCCCAACAGAGATTCAGGTTCCCAGGGAGCTGGACGCCTGGCAACAGGGAGGGTGTCTGTCAATCATGAGGCGCTGACTTCGCAGTCAGCAGATCTACATTCCCTTTCCAGGGCTGCTCCCCCCCAGCCCCTGGCTGATGGCCACCTCTAAATCCAGCCACTCTCATGAAAAGAGCTGTCTCCACCACCCCTAACAGCTGGGATCTGTGTGGCAGGCTCCAAACTTTGCTTCCTCTTCTGGGTCTCGGCATCTCTCAGCCAGGCTTGGGGCCTTTACTCTGCAGACTCTCCCCAGTGCCTCGCCCACCATGGCAGGTAGCCTGGGGGAGAGGTGCCCAGGGTGTCCCTTCCTGGCTCTCTGGCTCTGGAAACCTCTCTTGGAGCCTCAGTTTCCTTTTCTGCAAAAGGGGGGTAATTCTGTGAGCCCAGACAGTCTCAGATGGTAAAGCCTGAGGACTTGTGGCGTTAGATTGCCAGGGCTCACGTGGCAGCGTCAACCACTGCGGTCATCCTCATAGTCACCCCTCCCCCACCATGAGGCAGATACTGTGTCCCCCAACTCCACTCTTGATGAAGCCTCTGAGACCCCTCACACGTGCTCTTTGCAGCATGCTGCCCTGCTCCGCGTCTGTCCAGTGTTCTCAGCATCCTTCACACCCTGAGAGTGTTAGGAGAACTATCTTCTCCCTCTGGAGGAGCACGCAGAGCTCCGTGGGAAGATCGATTTTGATCAATTTGAGTCCAATTTTGGCATTGCCCCCTGTAGGCACGTGTCCTTGGGAAAGCTGTCTCAACTCTCCAAGTCTGTTTTCTTTCACAGGGACACAAAAGGCATCTACCTTTATGCATCATTGGGAGCATTAAAATGGGTGGCCAAGTGCTTAGCCAAAGCCACTCATTTTTATTTTTTTCAGATATTGGAAAAGGGGCTCCAGGGTGGGGCAGAGCATGTAGGTTTGTGTGGGTTTGTGTGTGTGTGTGTGGGGGGGGTGTGGGTGTGTGTGTGGCACACCAGGGATTGAACTCAGGTGTGCTTAACCACTGAGCCACACCCCCAGCCCTTTTTTTGTATTTTATTTAGAGACAGGGTCTCACTGAGTTGCTTAGTGCCTTGCTAAGTTGCTGAGGCTGGCTTTGAACTGTGGTCCTCCTGCCTCAGCCCGCCCCTATCTGCTGGGATTACAGGTGTGTGCCACCTTGCCCTGCTCCCAATCCTTTTTTATATTTCATTTAGAGACAGGGCCTTGCTAAGTTCAGAGCATGTGTTTTGATAATTTATTAGGGCCGGGCACAGTGCTGCACGCCTGTATTCCCAGCGACTCAGGAGGCTGAAGCAGGAGGATTGCAATGTCAAGGCTGGCCTCGGAAATTTAATGAGATCCTGGGTCAAAATCAAGAATAAAAAGGGCTGGGAATGTAGCTCAGTGGTTAAGCGCCCTTTGGTTCTGTCCTCCCCAGTACCAATATATTAAAATAAAATCACTGAGAGTTGGATGCGGGTGACCTTACCACTGTGGTCTCCGGGGTCTTTTGCAGGTTTGCTCTCTGGAATGCCAGGACGCCCTGCTGCCCTCGGAGGAGTGGGGGAGATGTCAGGGCTTCCTGTCTTCTCTCAACCCGTCCACCCTTGGGCTTGCGGGCCAGGAGGATCTGGAGGGCCAGGCAGCCTTGGAAGAGGCCTACAGCGAGCTGGCCAAGCTCCTGGGGCCCTTCCTGAAGGAGGCGGAGAGAAGCCAACTTCTCCCTGGCACCCTGACCAAGGAGACGCTCAGGGGTTTCCCTGGTGGGTTTGGGGACGGAGCGGAATCCGAGCTGCCCGGGGGAGCCCAGCCCAACAACGGCGCCCTGGAGGCTGCTGCGCTGGACATGGATGAGGAGGAAGCCAAGGTCAAGCGCTATGGGGGCTTTCTACGCAAATACCCCAAGAGGAGCTCCGAGGTGGCCGGGGAGGGGGACGGCGACGGGGGAAGGGCGGGCCACGAGGACTTGTACAAACGCTACGGGGGCTTCTTGCGGCGCATCCGTCCCAAGCTCAAGTGGGATAACCAGAAGCGTTATGGCGGTTTCCTCCGGCGCCAGTTCAAGGTGGTGACTCGGTCCCAGGAAGACCCCTATGCCTACTCGGCCGAGCTCTCCGATGCGTAAGCCCCTCCCTGTGCAGTCGAGTCGGAGCTTCCCCGCCACCTTCCCGCCCTGAGCGCAAGCGCTCCTCCTCCCCGCGCACCCGCCCTCGTGCTCAGCTCAGCACTGGCTACAAAGTCTCCAAGCGCAGCCTTCCTCCCTTCGGCCGGGGACTGTGGGAGTTGCTTGGGGTCAGTGACGAGAAAAAAATGGAGATCCCCCTTCCAACAGTGCTTGGCTCAGACCCCTCGACCTTTACAACCACCAGCAGCTTTTGATATTCCTCCACCCCAATCTTATGACCCCCACCCCCAACTCCAGGAATCCAGAGGGACTTGTTCTTTGGATCTATGATCTCCAGACTTTCCTGATTACATGCCCCTCTCGGAAAACAACAACAAGAAAAATCCAAAAGCATGCCCCCCAGGCAGGCAGTATACATATGTACCATAAAATAAGCAAAGGGAAAAAAAATAAATAGAAATCCTAGCCTTGTATGCTCAAACCTCAAATAATCTCCTTGCGCACCTCACCTTGGAGACTGAGCATTAGGTGAAAAGATTAAACGTTTTGCCTTTCATTGGATCAGGAATTCTGCCACGGGGGAGTCCAGTCTTTTAGAGGGTTCAATGTCTGATTTGCATCTTCTGAGCCCTTGTGATTTGGAAAGGCATCTCTCTGGGAGCTGAGCTCCCGGAAGTCCCATTCATGTGGTACCTTGGCTAGATCTGTTCTCCTTCTGAATTCTTAAATGATCAAGGAGGGAGCAGAGCAAACCAATTTGTTCTGTGCAACAAATTCAGAATGTGGACCGGTTCCCTCAGCTCTCATTAAGCTAATTAAACCGGTTGGTATCCCACCCCTTCCCCCATGATGAACTGAAGCAGAGTCAAGTGGATGAGGTTAAGCACAGCCATGTTCTTGAGCAGATGAATTGGCTGCCAGGAGTCCAAGCCATCTGGCCCAGCGTATGCATCGGGCATTGGATGAGGGAGTCCAGAGTTAGAGCCTGGAAAGAGAAAGCCCTTCTCCACTCCCTGGGTGATTCCTTCCTCTGTGTCTCCAAATAAAACCAGAAAGAGGAAAGACATGATGGGGTGTTTGAGGCCAAATGAGTTCCCTTGATTCAAATAACCCAGAATCAGAGGCAGAGACTTCCTGGTGCTTGGGTTTCAGTCCCCCCACTCTCTCTCCCTGACACTAGGTTTGGGTTGTGGGTCCAGGAGATGCTGCTGGACAGGAGAGAAAACAGATTCAAGCTTGGGTCATTTGTACAAGATGCTTCTGAGCAGACCTCTTCATGCACAGCCTCTGGGGCTCTCACGGTGTTTGGAATGTACAGATTGTTTTTTTGGGTTACTTTGTGTGCTTTTTAAAAGTCCCATTTATGCAATTTACTTGGAATTTGCTTTGCCTTTAATAGGCCTGTGTAATTTCCTTCTCCTCCAGTACAATAAATAATAGATGCTAATGATTTGTGTGTGCGAGTGTGTGTGCACCAGGCCCGCGTGAGCCGAAGGCCCAGAGAGAACAAAAGATCATTTGCAGAAAAGAATGCTAGGGAATGAATATCTATCATGTATCCATACACAGTTTACACACGTGCACATTCATCTCACACACACACACACACACACACACACACACACACATATACAGCCATGTTTGAAAACAAACTGTGGCATGATAGAGCCAAAATTTTCAGAGTGCCACAGTCTTAAGTTTGATAGTTGAATTTTGAGTAAATTATTGATTCTCTAGGCTTTACTTCTCTCTTCTATAAAAATAAAGAGTTACAGGGCTGGGGTTGTGGCTCAGTGTAGAGTGCTTGCCTCGCATGAGTGAGACCCTGGGTTCGATCCCCAGCACCACATTAAAAAAAAATAAACAAAATAAAAATAAAGATGTTGTGTCCATCTACAACCAAAAAAAAAAATGTAAAAAAAAAAAAGAGTTAAAGTGCCAATTTTGTGGAGTAGCTGTGAGAGTTCAATGACATCATATATGCAAAGCTCCTAGCATGTTAGAGTCTGGATGGAGCCTGGCATATTGCCAGAGGGAGTGGTTTGTGAAGTAACGCCAGCGAGCCATTAAGTGTGGAGATTTCTTATTAGTTGACTGCTGTATCTAGTTTATGCTAATTAAGATAAACTGTGTGGAATGTATAAATACTGATCCTGTCCTACAGTAAACGGCTCCCACTCCTGCTGTATCAATCTACACAAGTTGCTCGTCCCCCCCCCCCAAGTTATTCTGCTGCAGCCGAACTGCGGCACTAGCACATAAAGTTCGCCCCCAAATTGAGAGTTTCCTTTCCTCCATTATCTTAAGGGACAGCAGCAAAGCTCAGTGTGCAGCCACACAATAGAGAACACAAGGAGGGGTGTTGGGAAGGGAACTGCTTTCTATGCTGGAAAAGTCCAAGAAAGGAGAGAGAGAGAAAGATGTTCCTAATGAGGATGTGTGTGCTTGAGTGACAAGCTAGCAGAATGTCCTGTACTAAAATGACATCCTAGGGCGGGGAGCCTGGCTCAGTGGTAGAGCACTTGCCTGACATGCGTGAGCCATGCTGGGCTCCATCCCTAGCACTGCAAAACAACAACAACAACAACAACAATACAAAATACATCCTTCACTACAGGGTACAGATGAGATGTGTTTAAATGGGTCAAGCATGCAAGGGACGAGATGGCTACAGACCCCACAGGGACCATCTGGACACTGGCTTTCTGAACAACTTCGTGGAAAACACAGGGGCAGGGAGGTCTCAGTCATTCAAGGCACAAAGCTGCAGACCTACTGTGTGTGGTAAGCATTTTGCTAGGAAAACAAAACCCAGGCCTCTCTGCTCTTACAGAACTGACCGCTTGGTGGGGGAGAGAGAAATAAAGAAGTCAACAAAATATAAATATAGAATTAAAAATAGTGGTAATTGCTCTAAAGAAAAGAATCGGGATACACAGGTAAGGGGTAACAGGTGTGGGGGAAGCATCTTCCTAGGAGAAGACCATTTTCTAAGGAATATGCTACTCTTTTTTTTTTCATTTTTTGTTTTAATTAGTTATACATGACAGTAGCATGCCCTTATGCACTTTGGTGTATCATACATAAATGGGGTATCATTTCTCATTTTTTCTGGACTATTCTATTCTTGATATTCGCTGGAAAATCAAGTTGGAAGGAAACTGAGGTTTGGATTCATCTTATCCAACCACCTATCTGGGGCCAAAATGGACACATTGATAGTAAACTTTAACCTGCCTGAATAATTTTATTGACTTGGGTCTCACAACACGTTGCCACTCCTTGCCGATTCAGCATTGGAAATTCCCATCTTTGCGTTGGGTTGACGTTTAGATTCCCGTCACATTTACCCTTTGGGTCCCGCTCCTGCTGTATGCTAGCCTGGGAGATCCCCTAGGGAAGGATTTTCTGTCACTTGCAAACAAGTAAATATTGACTATCTCAAACAGGTTAAATGAAGAGACAAAACAGGAAATTCATTGGCTTTTGTAAATGAAAAGTACGGCAATGTTTTGCTTTGGGTAGAGCTTGATCGAGAAGCTCATTAAGAACCTCAGCACCTCCCATCAGGGGACTCCTTTCTCCTGGGTGTTGGATTCATTGTGAAGTTCCAGGTGCTTTTAGATGGCTTCCAGAAGCGCCAGGCTCTGCCATGCAGGTTTAAGTCCCCTGTGCTATTTTCACAGTGATTCTAGTCAAAATTTCATTAGACCTCATTGGCTCCTATATCCAGTCACGAGCTAATGCCAATCATGTGGACAGATTAGTGTGGGGCTCTGATTGGTCAGGACCAAGCCACATCGACAGTCCAGGAGACAGGGTTGAATTCAACCACAGGTGACCTGGAGGAGGGGAAGAAGTGGGTCATTCTGGAGAAGGAAATCAAAACGTGGCTCCTGGTAGGTGAGGGACAAATGCTGGACCACTGGACACTAGAAGGTCACCCACTGAGTGAGCGGAGCCGGCTGCTGGGGTCTGGAGAAGCTGGAGAGTTTGTGCCACGGGAACATGGTCCCAGAGCAGCCAGACCCTGACTCGCACGATACTGCAGACACCAGGGTCCACAGAGGACGTCTCTCAGGGTTTCGATGTGGACGAGTCATGTTTTTAAAAACATGACAAACAAGAATATGTTGGCATGACACAAATCACTCTCTTGCCATTATTCAATGACTTCATTTTAATTTTAAAAAACACTCCCCTGGGCTGCGGATTTCAAAACACTATCGCGCTGGCCTCCCGTTCCTCAGCTTATCTCACTTGGTCACCACGAGGCAGGTCCAGAGGGTAGAGGGGTCGGGGAGGACCTGGGCTCAGACCTCGCATCCCTGTGTGACCCATGGGCAAGCCACTGCTCTCCACGGAGCCTCGGTTTTCAATCTGTCAAGTGGGGGAAGAGAGATGGGCGTCACTAAATGGAAGCGAAGACTCAGTACTGGAATGTCTCCAAGGCTGGCGACACACAGGAAGTGTGTGACACCCATGGCGGTCCTCTCTCCCAGGGTGGTGCCTGGTGATGGAGGGTCTGATGGAGGTGTGCGTCATACATTGTGTTCCCCTCTCACAGGGCGGTACCTGGTGGCGTTGGGTCGGACGTCTCTGGGGTGAGGCACACATCCCTGTAGAAGGGAAAACGTTCTATTGGGAGTAAGAAGACAGTGACATTTAAAACATAAATATTTGTCATTGAGGTGTCTCGTGCCTACCATAAAGTGTGCTTAAGGGAGTGACTCCAGGGAGTTGCTGAGCGCACACACACCCCTGTGTGACCACCTCTCTGTCCACGGTGTAGGACATTCCTGCCCCCCACGGGGTCCCACAAGGTCATTTTAATGAGCTGCTTGTGGGGAACAGGGAGCAAGCTAGAATTGGAATCAGGACCAAAGCATGGCAGGCCTTCCAGAACACCGACCCTTTGTCCTGCCACAAAGGCCACCGTGCAGCCACCACAGAGCCGGCTCTGGTTAGGGGATGCCAACGTCCCAGTAACCTTAAAAAATGCACGTTACTAATAGGCGAGCAGTTCCCATGGCAACGCTGTACACCACCACGGGCGAGCAACGTCTCGTCATAATGATCGTGACAGTCATTATGATCCCTCGGATTTGGACCGCTCCTCCCTGGCCCTCGAGCTCCGAGCCCTTCATACAAATGAGCCCAGCGACCGACCGGGCTTGTCTGCTAATTAAAGACCCCAAAGTGAAGACAACAGAGATCCCTATGACTGCGTTGGGAACAAAGGTTCCCTAATAGGTGTCATCTCACATTCTTGATTCATGTGCTGGGCCCACGTCGCCTCCCGTTAGCTGTGGAGATTTATAATTACTCCCCTAAAATGCAAATGTGCCCCTAGGATGCTTCCCGCCACCTGTCCTGTCTCTAACTTAAGCCAAGCCCATTATTCTTTGCCCCCCCTCACTCTCCATCGCTCTGACGGGAAGTTTCCCTCCTCGATGTGCAACTGTCTGTCTCAGCCCCCGGAGGACACCTGTCCTGGGGCCTGGGGGTGGGTAAGTGGTGCTTGGATTACTGGTGAGAGCCGTGCAGCCTTTGAACCTGAGGAAGGAGCACTGGACTGAGAGTCCAGGGCCTGGAGACCCGAGCACCGTCCGCGCCCTGCTAGCCCGCTGTGGGAGGTGGCCTGAGACCTCTCCAGGACACAGATTCTCTTCTGTGAAATGATGTTAACAATATCGTAGGATCTCTTGTCCTCTCAGGAGCTGATGCCTAGTATCTGATCTGCATCCGCCAGGAAATGCCCAACACAGCTTCCGTGTCCTTATCTTGAAAGGACAGTGATGGATTCTACCCTGCAGGGTAGGAAGAGGTCAGGGATGAGAAGACAAGGGTGGCGTCTGGCCCAAAGTTGTTGAGTAATCAGTGTCCGTGTCTTCTCCACTTGAGGCCATCTGGTCTCTGATAGACATTTATGGAGCACCTGTTGTATACCCGGCACTGGATGAGCACCAGGGGATTCAGTGGTGATTGGGCAAAGTCCTCAGTAGGTCTCAGGGTGTCAGGTGGTTCCGAGAGGTGGGAAGGAAAAGCAAGAGTAAGGGTGCCACTGGTGGAGAGCAGGAGCGGTCACTCAGAGAGGTCACAAAGGCCTCACCCGAAGGGTGACACGTGACGAGATGTGTCGGAGATGGAGTGGGGAGCCTGCGGTTGTGCAGGCAGGGTTGGGTGGGCGGGGGAAGGGCAAGTGCACAGACAGGCCCCGAGGAGGGTGCGAGGCTGTTCTGCCCAGGGGAGAAAGGAACAGCTGGCGTGCAGAGGCAGAGGGTGGGCAACAAGGCTGCGGAATCAAGGGGACCAGCTGGTATAGGGCCTCCTGCATCTCAGCACTGTCCCTGTGCCCTCTGTTACCCTGGCAATGGTGGAGCCTCTTGTGCAATCCAAGCATCCTGGTCTGGACCGTTGATCATATTGTTGCCCAACCTGAGGGCCCTG